GGGAGACAATATCATAAACCTCTTCTTTTTTCCACATTTATTTCACAACTCAATTCTCAACTTGATCCAATGCTATACAATGTTCAATTACCAATAATACTTCCACAAGCCTTGTTCAACAATAGAAATCATCATATAAAGTATGAACAATATGAAACGGAGTCACATCAATTATAGTATAAGACTCACAGACATGTTTGACACCGATGTATAGATACTCGTCACCACACCTATACGTCGTACTCAACAATTAACACATAGCAAATAAGACACAACTCCTAATCCCTGAAGCTAAGGTTAGACCAAACACTTACCTCAATGCCACGAACACAATTCAAGCCTCAACTACCGCTTTACCTCTTGTTTCCATCACTAATTTACTTGTATCTAGCCACAATTTACTTAATGATGTCCTTAAATGCTAAATGAATCAATTCTAATGCATGAAAATAGGTTTTCTAATGATTTTCCCAAAAAGTCAAAAATAAAACCCGGGCCCACATGGTCAAAACCCGAGGTTCGAACCAAAATCTGATTACCCATTCACTCACAAACTCAAATATATAATTTGTTTTGAAATCGGACCTCAAATCGAGGTCCAAATCCCCAAAATTTAAAAATCCTCAGTTCTACCCAAAACACCCAATTTCCCCCATGAAAACCCTTGATTTTGAATTGAAATCATGTGAAAAGATGTTATGGATTAAAGAAAATAAGTTAGAAACGACTTACAATTGATTTGGAGAAGAATGTTTCTTTAGAAAATCGCCCAAGAGAGCTTAGAGTTTGAGAGAGTTTGAAAAATGAAGAAAAATCCGTCTAAGTCCCAATTAACTGGTCGTAGATGTTGCAATTGTGACAGGGGCTTTGCAATTGCGAAGCTCGCAAATGCGAACAAGGCCTCGCAATTGCGAACCTGGGCATTGTCTGCTAACCTCGCAATTGCGAACAAGTTGTCGCAATTGCGATACTGTCCCTCCCCTGATGACTTCGCATTTGCGAAGGATGGTTCGCAATTGCGAACACTGGTAGTCCTGGGATTTCCTCACAAATGCGATCAAGCCCTCGCAATTGCCAAGCCTGTTGGGCTCGCAATTACGAAGCCTAACCTCACAATTGCGAGATCAGAGCCTGCAACACAGCTGAACCTCCAACAGCCATTTCTCTAAGTTTAAATTCACTCTGTGGTCTATCCAAAACTCACCCCGAGTCCTCGGAGCTCCAAAACAAACATGCACGCAAGTCCAAAAATATCATGCGGACTTGCTCGTGCAATCAAATCATCAAAACAACATCAACAACTATGAATTAAACCTCAAATTCATGAAATCATTCAAGAACATTGAAATTACTATTTTCTCAATTAAAGGTCCGATTTATACCAAATGAACTCCTATTGTTACAAAACTCCACAGATTCAACTTAATTATTATTTCAAACTTGTACCGGGCTTTGGAACCAAGATACGGGCCCGATAACATCAAGAAATTACATCAATTCACTTCTAAAATCCTTTACATTTTCTAGAAAATAATTTTCTTTATCATTTCTCAAGCTTGAGACCTCAGAATTTGATTCCGGACATACGACCAAGTCCCATATTTTACTACGGACCCTACACGACCGTCATATCACGGGTTTGGTTTACCAAGAATATTGATCAAAATCAACTTTAATCAATTTTAAAGGTCATTTTTCTCATTTTTCTTAAATTTTACATAAAAGCTTTACGGAAACGCGCCCGAACTGCGCACGCAAATCGAGGTGAGACAAAAAGTGATTTTTAAGGCCTCGAAACACAGAATTTGCTTTCAAAACGAGTAAAAGGTCATCACATTCTCCACCTCTAAAATAATTGTTCGTCCTCGAACGGACATAAGAAAAGTACCTGAGTCAGAGAAAAGATAGGGATATCGGCTTTGCATATCAGACTTGGACTCCCAGGTTACTGCCTCAACAGGCTGACCTGTCCACTGAACACGAACAGAAGGAAAACTCTTCGATCTCAACTAACGAACCTGATGGTCTAAGATAGCTACCGGCTCCTCCTCATAGGACAAGTCCTTGTCCAACTGGACAGTACTAAAGTCTAACACGTGGGGTGGATCGCCATGATACCTTCGAAGCATGGACAAGTGAAACATTGGATGCACGACTGCTAAATTCGACGGTAATGCAAGTCTATAAGCCACTTCTCCCACTCGATAAAGAATCTAAAATGGGCCAATAAATCCAGGGCTAAGTTTACCCTTCTTCACAAATCTCATCACGCCCTTCATAGGCGACACCCGAAGCAACACCCGCTCATCGACCATGAATGCCACATCACGAACCTTATGGTTGGCATAACGTTTTTGCCCGGATTGAGCTGTATGAAGCCTATCCTAAATAATTTTGACCTTTTCCAAGGCATCCTGTACTAGATTCGTACCCAACAACCAAGCCTCTCCCGGCTCAAACCACCCAACCGGCGACCGACACCGCCTACCATATAAAGCTTCATAAAGAGCCATCTGGATGCTCAACTGGTAACTGTTGTTGTTGGCAAACTCCGCTAAAGGCAAGAACTTATCCCACGAGCCTCCAAAGTCCATAACATAAGCTCGGAGCATATCCTACAAAATATGAATAGTACGCTCGGACTGCCTGTCCGTCTGAGGATGAAATGTTGTGCTCAACTGGACCCGTGTGACCAACTCACACTGAACTGCCCTCCAAAAATGTGAGGTAAACTACATACCTCGGTCCAAAATGATATACACGGGCACACCATGAAGATGAATAATCTCCCGGATATAGATCTTGGCTAATCTCTCAGAAGAATAGGAAACTGCCACCAGAATGAAATGCACTGACTTGGTCAGCCTATCAACAATAACCCATACTGCATCAAACTTTCTCTGAGTCCGTGGGAGTCCAACAACGAAGTCCATAGTGATACACTCCCACTTCCACTCAGGAATCTCAATCTTTTGGAACAAACCACCAGGTCTCTGATGCTCGTACTTTACCTACTGACAATTCAAGCACCGAGCCACATATGCGACAATATCCTTCTTCATCCTCCTCCACCAATAATGATGCCGCAAGTCTTGATACATCTTAGTGGCGCCCGGATGAATAGAGTACCGGAAACTATAGGACTCCTATAAAATTAACTCTCGAAGCCCATCCACATTAGGCACACAAATACGATCATGCATACTCAAAACTCCATCATCTCCCACTGTAACCTGCTTGGCACCACCGTGTCGCACTGTGTCCCTAAGGACACACAAATGTGGATCATCATACTGCCGATCTCGGATATGCTCAAGCAATGAAGAACGAGCGACTGTACAAGCTAACATACGGTTGGGCTAAGAAACATCCAACCTTATGAACTGATTGACCAAAGCCTGAACATCCAAAGCAAGAGGTCTCTCACCGACTGGAATATACGCAAGGCTGCCTATATTGGCTGACTTTCTACTCAAAGCATTGGCCACCACATTGGCCTTTCCCGGATGATATAAGATGGTAATATCATAGTCTTTCAATAGCTCCAACCACCTTCTCTGCCTCAAATTTAGCTCTTTCTGCTTGAACAACTACTGTAGACTCTTGTGATCCGTGAACACCTAACATAACACGCCATACAAATAGTGCATTCAAATCTTTAGTGCGTGAACAATGGCTGCTAACTCTAAATCATGAACTGGATAATTCTTCTCATGAATCTTCAATTGTCACGAAGCATACGCAATGACCTTGCCATCCTGCATCAACACCGCACCAAGTCCAATACGAGATGCTTCACAATAAATTATATATGGCCCTGAACCTGTAGGCAAAAACCAACACCGGTGCCATAGTCAAAGCTATCTTGAGCTTCTGAAAGTTCGCCTCACACTGGGACAACCACCTAAAATGGGAACCCTTCTGGGTCAACCTGGTCATCGGGGCTGCAATAGATGAAAACCCCTCCACAAACCAATGGTAATAGCCAGCCAAACCCAAGAAACACCGGATCTCTATAGTTGATGCGGGTCTAGGCCAGTTCTTGACTGCCTCTATCTTCTTCGGATCTACCTGAATACCCTCTACTGAAACAATATGGCCCAAGAATGCAACTAAACTCAACCAGAACTCACACTTCGAAAACTTAGCATACAACTGACTATCTCTCAAAGTCTGAAGAGCAACTCTCAGATGCTGCTCATGCTCCTCCCAACTGCAGGAATAGACCAAAATATCATCAATGAAGACTATCATGAATGAATCTAAATAGGCTTGAACACTCGGTTCATCAAATCCATGAAAGCTACTGGGGCATTTGTCAATCTTAATGAAATCACCAATAACTCATAATGCCTGTACAGAGTGCGAAAAGCTGTCTTAGGGACATCAGATCCCCTAATCCTCAACTGATGGTAGCCAGATATTAAGTCAATCTTCGAAAATACCTTGGTACCCTGAAGCTAATCAAACAAATCATCAATCCTCGGCAATGGATACTTATTCTTGATTGTGACCTTGTTCAACTACCGGTAATCTATACACATCCTCATCGATCCGTCTTTCTTCTTAACAAACAACACCAGTGCACCCAAGGGGAGACATTAAGTCTAATAAATCCTTTATCAAGCAAGTCTTGCAACTGTTCCTTCAATTCTTTCAACTCAGGCGGGGCCATACGATATGGTGGGATAGAAATGGGCTGAGTGCCCGAAGCCAAATCAATGCAGAAGTCAATATCCCTGGCCTCCACCTCTAGCGGCCTGACCTCCACCTCTAATACCTCTACCTCCACCTCTAGAACCTCTACCCCCACCTCTAGCTAGCTGAGAGGGCGGTGGAATACTCGGCTCCTGGACCATGGCACGGGAACCCTAATGCTAAGAGCTGCTCGGTGCTCGAGGGCAAAATCTAGCAATATGCCTCGTATAGCCACAAGTATAACAAGTCCTCAGCTGCTGAGACTGCTGACCCTGATGGCCTGAATAACCACTCTAAAAACTCTAGAGTGGTGGTGCATTGATAAGATCTGGCGGTGCACTATAGGGCAGTTGATCGGAATACTGCATATGAGAATTACGGCCATCTAGAGCACCGTGAGAAGCCTCAAGTGCTGAATGAAACAACATGGAAGAATGGGCCCTGCCAAAAGAATCTTTTCCTCCAAATGAGGCACCACAGAACCTGCCCGAATGACGGGCCTCTTGTTCGACTCCTGACTACTCCCCTGTGATAGAGCCATCTCAACTCTCCTGGCCACATTGGCCGCATCTTGAAAAAGAAATCTCGCTCCCTATCTCCTTAGCCATCTGCAATCGAATAGGCTGAACGAGTCCCTCAATGAACCTCCTCACTCTCTCTCTCTCTCTCGCAGTGGGAAGTATAAGAAGAGCATGACGGGCCAAGTCAATAAATCTAGTCTCGTACTGAGTAACAGTCATAGAACCCTGCTAGAGACGCTCAAACTGCCTCCGATAGTTCTCCCTCTGAGTGATAGGAAGAAACTTATTCAGAAATAGCTGAGAAACTGATCCCAAGTCAAAGCCGGTGACCCAGTGAGTGTAGCCTTATAATAATCTCTCCACTAAGTCTTGGCAGATCCAGACAAACGAAAAGCAACAAAGTCGACCCCATTGGTCTCCACTATCCCCATGTTCCGTAGAACCCTATGACAGTTGTCCAAATAATCATGGGGATCCTCAGAAGATATACCAACAAATGTAGTAGTGAAAAGCTTGGTAAACCTGTCCAACCTCCATAAGTCATTAGCAGACATAGTTGGCCCCTCTCCGGTCTATGCCCCAACACCAGGCTGAACTACCCTAATTGGCTGAGCTGCTGGAGTCTAAAACTGGGGAGCCATCTGCTCCAGAGTACGAGTAGTAGGATTCTGGGCTTCTCCTCCACGGCTGGTGCTACAGGAAGCAAGTTTGCCTGGGAGACACTCTCCATAAGGCCCACTAGACGGACCAGAGCATCCTAAAGTACCGGGGTGGAGATGAACCCTCTGGGACCTGAGCTAGTCCTACTAGAACTGTTTGGGCTGGAACCTCATTGTCAAACTCAACCTGAGGCTCCGTCGTTAGTGTTGTTGCTCGAGCTCTAGGTTGAGCCCTACCTCTACCTCGGGCCCTAGCACGGCCTCAACCTCTGCCCCTCGCATGAGTTTCTACTAGGGGCTCGGGCTACTGGTCAGCTGATGAAGCGGTATATGTTCTCACCATCTGCGAAAGAATAGAGTGGAAGTCCAATTAGCATTGAGAAATCAAGTCGCACGACAGGAAATAATAGATGTGAAGTTTTTCCTAACTCTGTAACCTCTGGGGGATAAATAAAGACATTTCAATACCGATCCCTCAGACTATACTAAGCTTGTCCGTGAATTGTGAGACCTAAGCAACCTAGAGCTCTAATACCAGTTTGTCACAACCCAGATTTCCTACCCTCGGGAGTTGTGATGGCGCCTACTCGTGAAAGCTAGACAAGCCGAGTATTACAAATTCATTAACCCTTTTACTTAGCCTTTTTAACAGGTCAATATAATAGGTGATCAATAGCGGAATAATCATAATAAACAAAAATGCGGAAGACGAAAACTGATAATATCACTACATACTTATACGGAAATCCAAAATACAACTCTACCCAGAATTGGTATTACAATGTCACAGACTATATAAGAATACTACAAATAGGGTCCGAACGAAATAGATACATGTGTGTCTCTGAAATAGTAAAGAACAGAAGAAAAACTAGATAGAAAGGGGACGTTAAGGCCCGCGGACGCCTGCAGGACTACCTCGGGTCTCCTGATGGACTGAAGACTGCAACCTCACTGTGGTTCAAAAGCTCTAGCACCGGGATCTGCACACAGTATAGAGTGTAGTATCATCACAACCGATCCCATGTGTTTGTAAGTGTCTAGCCTAACCTCGGCAAAGTAGTGACGAGGCTAGGACAAGACTACCCAAATAAGCCTGTACAGTTATATCATATACAACAAGTAATAATGACAGAAACTAGCAGTTAAAGATGGGAAGGGGAAACATGTTGCGGGGAATATCATGTGCAAACAATATTTCAGTAAAGAAGTGAACGGAACACGAAAATTCAACTGTAAGCAAGAATAGGGAAATCAATGACAAGTGCACGGCATCACCCTTCGTGCTTTTACTCTCGCCCTCACCATAAGAATCAATATAATCAGCATGGTATCACTCTTCGTGCTTTTACCTCACATAATCATGGCACAGAATCATCCTTCGTGCATTATCACTCATATCATGGCACGACGGTGTACGTCGTGCGGTACGGCTTCACCTTTCGTGCTTTTACCTCACAATATCGGCACGACATCACCCTTCGTGCATTGACACTCTCTCACAAATATTATGCACGACAACACCCTTCGTGCTTTTACACTCTTCCTTACCCAAGCAACAATTACAAAGCAATGCGGGCAAAGGAATCAATAAAATTACAATAGAATCCCGGCAAGGGAACAACAGCATAACAACAATATCCCGGCAAGGGAAACAATATCATGATTAATAACATCCCAGCAAGAGAGATAATATCAAAAGCAATAATATCCCGGCAAGGAAGACAATATCATAAACCTCTTCTCTTTTCCATAATTATTTCACAACTCAATTCTCAACTTGAGCCAACGCTATACAATGTTCAATTATCAATAATTCTTCTACAAGCCTTGTTCAACAATAGAAATCATCATATAAAGCATGAAAAATACAAAACAGAGTCACATCAATCATAGTATAAGACTCACGGGCATGCTTGACACCGACGTATAGATACTCGTCACCACACCTATATGTCGTACTCAACAATTAACACATTGCAAATAAGACATAACTCTTAATCCCTCAAACTAAGGTTAGACCAAACACTTACCTCAATGCCACAAATACAATTCAAGCCTCAACTACCGCTATACCTCTTGTTTCCACCACTAATTCGCTTGTATCTAGCCACAATTTACTTAACGATGCCAATAAATGCTAAATGAATCAATTCTAATGCATGAAAGTAGGTTTTCTAATAATTTTACCATAAAGTCAAAAATTGACCCCGGACTCACATGGTCAAAACCCGAGGTTCGAACCAAAGCCCAATTATCCATTCACTCACAAACTCAAATATATAATTTGTTTTAAAATTGAACCTCAAATCGAGGTCCAAATCCCCAAAATTTGAAAATCCTAAGTTCTACCCAAAACACCCAATTTCCCCCATGAAAACCCTTGATTTTGAATTGAAATCATATGAAAAGATGTTATGGATTAAAGAAAATGAGTTAGAAATGACTTACAATTGATTTGGAGAAGAACTTTTCTTTAGAAATCGCCCAAGAGAGCTTAGGATTTGAGAGAGTTTGAAAAATGAAGAAAAATCCGTCTAAGTCCCAATTAACTGATTGCAGATATCATAATTGCGACAGGAGCTTCGCAATTGCGAAGCTCGCAAATGCGAACAAGGACTCACATTTGCATACCTGGGCATTGTCTGCTAACCTCGCAATTGCGAACAAGTTGTCAGAATTGCGATATTGGCCCTCCCCTGATGACTTCGCATTTGCGAAGGATGGTTCGCAATTGCGAACACTGGCAGGCCTGGGCTTTCTTCGCAAATGCGATCAAGCCTTTGCAATTTCCAAGTCTATTGGGTTCGCAATTGCAAAGCTTGACCTCGCAATTGCGAGATCAGAGCCTGCAACACAACTTAACCTGCAACAGCCATTTCTCTAAGTCCAAATTCACTCCGTGGCCTATCCAAAACTCACCCGAGCCCTCGTGGCTCCGAACCAAACATGCACGCAAGTCCAAAAACATCATGCGTACCTGCTCGTGCAATCAAATATTCAAAATAACATCAACAACCATGAATTAAACCTCAAATTCATGAAATCACTCAAGAACATTGAAATTACTATTTTCTCAATTAAAGGTCCGATTTATACCAAACGAACTCCGATTTTTACCAAACTCCATAGATTCAACTTAATTATTATTTCAAACTTGTACCGGGCTCCGGAACCACGATTCGGGCCTGATAACATCAAGAAATTACATCAATTCTCTTCTAAAAGCCTTTATATTTTCTAGAAAATAATTTTCTTTATCATTTCTCAGGCTTGAGACCTCAGAATTTGATTCCGGACATACGACCAAGTCCCATATTTTACTACGGACCCTACGCGACCGTCGTATCACGGGTTTGGTTTACCAAGAATATTGATCAAAGTCAACTTTAATCAATTTTAAATGTCATTTTTCTTAAATTTCACATAAAAGCTTTCCGGAAACGCGCCCGAACTGCGCACGCAAATCGAGGTGAGACAAAAAGTGATTTTTAAGGCCTCGAAATACAGAATTTGCTTTCAAAACGGGTAATGAATTTTTGGGTCATCACAAGTTGTTACTCTCCAAGCTAGGAGTGTTGAATGTCTTTCACCCTCCAGTTTGAGAGGGAGTATCAACATAGCTAGAGGAACAACTCAATTAAATGAGTGAGGGGTTAACTTGTAATTAGTGAAACTAGAGGGAGCTCAAAGAAGAAGGTAGTTAGAGTTCAGTTAGTGCGCCTTCTTCTTCTATATAATCAGCTACACTTGTAACTGATTTGGTAATGAAAACATTTCTTCTGGCTTCTCCTCTTTCTCTTGAATGTTCTTAGCTTTCAGGGCAATGTACTCTGCCTTGCATGGCATAGCATAGGATCTCCATTAATGAGCAGATCTTACCTCTGTCCAACTCAACTTAACACGGTAGGAGGATTGAAATGTGATTGCGCACAAACAAGATAAGTATCTAGAAAAAAAAAGGTACTTTATTCCAAATCATTTCTCAAAATTGAATCAAATGCAAATGATAGAAAAAGAAAAAAGTTAAAAATAACCAAACAACAGACAAAGAAAAAATTAAACCATTATTCTTAGGCGATGATCATTAAGAACATGGCAAATGTGGCAACAATGCAAGAAACAAATTTGGAAGGAGTAATCCCAGAGGCAGCTAATGAGCCAAGGGAGTTAGAAGGTGCAATAAAAGGAGATCCCACTTCGGGCAAAACATTAATGGCAACCTTCATCCCTTGATCGCAGTGGTCTATTATTCCGCAGAAGTACCCATTTCTTGCCGGGAGATGTCAGCTCAATCACATCATTTCCAGTGTGGAAGGATGTAGTAGTAGTTGTTGGTGCACAGTCTTGGAAAGATATTAGATCTGCTTTGAACACATTATGTGCTCCTTCCTTGTACTTGAAAACTGTATGCACCACAATAATAATATTCAGTATGATCCCAAAATTAAATGAGTTTAACTTCTAACAATGACAGTATATAAAGATTTTTTAGCGTGCACTATCCAAGTTACTCAAAAATATAGTGCAGGTAATATTCGGTAACAAGAGTAACTTGTTACAACAGGTAAAACTGCATGCATTGATAGTGAAAAACTTTTATTTTACAAAGTCGCCTAAGAGATAATTGCATGCAACTGTTAATAAAGAGTGGAGTAGTAACATGAGAAACAATACATTACTAGCATGTCATACATAAAATATAAGAACATACTGAGCTTATCTCCAATATGGAACTCTTTGCTCTCAGCCCATGCTTTGTAGTCAAAGTTGAGCTTCCAACCTTGATCATCCCCAACCAAATGCTCAATTGCAATTGTTGGTGCAACAATCATACTAACAACAGCAATTGCAATCAAGAAAGCTTTCGAGGCCATTTGTAAGTATTTGTTGTAGCTACTGCTCGTGAAAGCTTCTCTATTTTGATTCTTTGTTTGTTGTAGAATGTTATTAAGCTTGATGGTTTGAAGGTCAGCATCTAGGTAGGAACATATTTATAGGATGTTGAAATTGAGAATTTCAGCCGGCTAATGACGGCAGTTACTTACATTGTGCTATTTGGCGAGGCCATTTTGCCTAAGGAATATCAATGATGTCTCAATTCATTTTATTAATCGACCCGGATTTCTCCATCTTCGGGAGTCGTGATGGCTCTTACTCGTGAAAGCTAGGCAAGCCAACAATTACCGTTTTTACCACCATTTTTATTAATCAAACAGAATCAGATATTAGCTAAGCAAAATAATTAAGAAATGCGGAAGTAAAGTAATAGTGCCACAACGCAAGTACATAACTACCCCATAGAATCTGGTGTCTCAATCCACGAATGACTAAGATTTACTACAAATACAAGTCTAAAAGAAGTACAATTGTTCTCGAAATATATGAGACAGCAGGAAACAAAAGCGGGATAGGAGAACTTCGGGCTCTGTGAACGCCAGCCGAACTACCTTGGTCTCCCTGGACTGAAGGCAGCTACCTCAAGCTACTCATAGGATCTGGCATCGAAATTTGCACAGGAAGTGCAGAGTGCAGTATCACTAGTAAGTGTCGAGCCTAACCTCGGCGAAGTAGTGACGAGGCTAGGACATGACAACAATATAAACCTCTGCAGTTAAATCATATACTAACAGTACAATAATAACAAGAAATAACAGAAAAAGATGGGGGGAGGAACATGCTACAGGGAATATCAAATTCTGACAGTAAATCAAAAAAGAAGCAATAATGAGCACCATACTAGTAACAACGGGAATAATGAAATAGTAACATGTGCATGACATCATCCTTCGTGCTTTTACTCTCATTCTCACCATAAAGAACAACAGAAACGGCACGACATCACTCTTCGTGCATTAACTTTCATAATCATGGCACGGCATCACCCTTCGTGCATTAACTCTCAAATCATGGCACGACATCACTCTTCATGCATTAACTCTCACAATATCGGCACGACATCACCCTTTGTGCATTAACTCTCACAATATTATGCACGTCATCACCCTTCGTGCATTAACACTCACTCACAATATCATGCACAACATCGCCCTTCGTGCTTTACACTCTTTCTCACCCAACCAATAGAAATAATAACTTCCCGGCAAGGGAATCAATAATAGAAATAATAACATCCTGGCAAGGGAATCAACAATGGAATCAATAACGTCCCGGCAAGGGAAACAACTATAACCAAACTCGTTTCAATAATTAACTTCACATAATAAGTCTCAAATTGAGTCAATACTAAACAATAGTCAATTACCAAGAAATATCATAAGTGTTGTTCAACATGGATAATCATCAATTTAAGCATGGACAATACATAATAATAGTCATAACAATAATGGTATAAGACTCAAGGGCATGCTTGACACCAACGTATAGATACTTGTCACCACACCTATACGTCGTACTCAACACTAACACGTATCAAATAAGACCACAACACCTATTTCCTTAAGCTAAGGTTAGGCCAAACACTTACCTCAATTCCATGGACAAAATCAAGCCTCAATTACCGTTTTACCTCTCGGTTCCACTTCTAATCTGCTTGTATCTAGTCATAAATTACTTAATAACATCAATAAATTCTAAATAAACCAATTCTAATGCATAAATATAGATTTCCAAATGTATTCCCCAAAAGTCAAAAACTGACCTCGAGCCCGCTTAGTCAAAACTCGAAGTTTGAACCAAACCCCGATTACCCATTCACCCATGAACTCAAATATGCAATTGGTTTTGAAATCCGACATCAAATGGAGGTCCAATTCCCCAAAATTCAAAAATCCTAACTTCTACCCAAGAACGCCCAATTTTCCCATGAAAATCCTAGTTTTTGAAGTAAAATCATGTGAAAAGATGAATTAGATTGAAGAAGATGAGTTAGAAATTACTTACCTATGATTTGGAGAAGTTTAGGTCTTTGGAAAATCGCCTAAGGATGTTTAGGATTTGAGAGAATTTGAAAAATGATGAAAATCTCGTCTGAAATCTCAACTAACAGGCCACAGATATCGCAATTGGTGAACCCTTCTGTTGCCTTCGCATTTGCGTTGAAAATGTCGCATTTGCAACATAAGGGGCCTCGCAATTCCGGCCAAAACATCGCATTTGTGAGGATGGCATGCCCAGGCCTGGTTCACATTTGCAACATTATTGTCGCATTTCCCAGGCCTGTTCACTTCACAATTGCAAAGCCTGTAAATGCCTAATTTTTGCCTTATATATATATAATATATGTGTGTGTGTGTGTGTGTTTGTTCTTATTTGTGTATGTATAGGTTGTAAGAGTTGAGTAATAGTTTGATAAATGAGGTAGGGTTTGGGCTAGTGTAATTTAATTAAAATTGTGCTAAAATTGGCCCAAAATTTGAGCCCAAAGAGCCCAAACCCGGTCCAAAAGGGGGCTGCCAAGAAGAGCTTAAAACGACGTAGTTTTGTATTGAAACTACGTCGTTTTGGCTAAGTGACTTCAATCTCATCCACCCATCTTGATTTAATCCAACGGTCCTAGTTTGATCTTCATCCTAGGTATTTAAAGCCTAAAATCCCCAAAT